TCAAAAATGCATAAAATCAAGTATATAACTTTTTAGGTCATATATCTTATTATAAATCAATTAATTGTATACCTTTATATTATATTATATATAATTATATTTTATTTAATTTTATACTCAAATATTATAATTTATAAATTCATCATTTATATTGTCGAACCAACTATGTTGCAACATAAAATTTTTATTCATAAACAAAAAAATATATATTATTTCAATAATTTTCTTATGATGATATACATTTTTAATTAACTAAATAGTATCCCCATTATGAAATTATTTTGGATCCGCCAATACAATTAGCTTTCTACTTGAACTTCCATTGAAATTTTTATAATTCAATTGACAGCTTTTCCAACGATTGAAACAGGGTAAAGAAAAAATTCAGTGAAAATTCACGCAACAATAAAATTCATTGAAAATTCCCAAAACAATAAATAATGGTAATTGGAATCATTAAATCCACTAAATTTCAATGTAATTTAATTTGATCTCTGATGGAATAACCAATGAAATTTTATAATAGAAGTTATACCAGTGAAGTACCCATTGAAATTTAGTAGAATAACATACCGTTGGATTTTCATTGCAATATAACATTTTTCTATTCTTTCTTAAACATTAAAATTTTTATTGTGTAATTTTTCTTATTAATTAATTGTGTTTACAAATAATATATAGAATATATATTAGCAACATAATCCTATTGGGGAATCCAATTTGAAAAAGCATATTTCATCACCTGCTAATAAAAAATAGAGCTAGAAACAATATATTTGTATATTATTTTTGTCATCCCCAATTCTTGCACTCTGCTGTCTACAGGAAGTTCCCGATTTCACATAACCTGAGCCCACATGTTCTTCACCCTTAACACTATTAAATTACAATGTTGCCATTATAAAACCCTTTAACATTATTAAATTACAAAGTTGCCATTATAAAAATGATAAAATAAAGTTATTTTAGGCAAAAACATATTTTTACAGATTCATTGGTCATCATATTCTCGCCCTCTCGTTCTGTTTGCACAAAGTACAACTGAAAATATGCAGGTCCATCTTCTTTAGGCAATAAGCTAGGAAGATCATGATACACTACTCCCTGAGCTCGAAAAGTATATACTCCTTGTCTTGCAGGTGCAAGTTCTTTATCTAATTCGATCCATAATGATGTAAAAGAGAACATACTGTTAAATAGACGAATGTTTATTCGAAATTGCTTTCCCTCTCCGTATGTGAAGTGAACAATTCATATAGTTCATCAGACACTTCAATAGGAGGAAGTTTGAATTTTCCATTATCACAACAAAATGTTGGATACTCGTATTGAAATTACATTGCACCGCAATGTATGCAATTGGGCATTTTTTCCAACTCATGTATCGCTAAACATACATTCCTTTGATAATTGAACCTAAAAAATGACAAATACCAATTATTTATTAAATCACATAAATGAATGAAATGCATTATTTATTTTTTTTATGTACAATAATAATAGAGTACTAATAATATATCTCTAGTAAATCTCATTAAGTACAGGTAATTTTAATAGTTATATTTATGGTTAAATTAAACATAATGACAAATATACAACAAAGACATCATTTATATTTTCATTTGTACAAAAGTAAAGAAGTGACACCATTACATCTCTAAATGCATGAAATATGGAATACTTAAATGCGTTATGACAATCTAATATCAAAATATAGGAACAACAAAAACAACAAATTCTTGAAGTATAAAAGAAACATATAGTACTCATTTAGATCTAGAAAAAAACATGTATATATTTTGTATTAGAGGATTAAATATTTCTAATCTTTAGGTCCAGATGAAACTTCATCGGTATCAAGACATGCAACACCCATATTTTGGCCCTTGCGATGTTTATTTTTTTTAACACAATACAATTGCTTCTGATAAGCATCTAAATCGTTGTATTCTCTTTCATCTTAGCCGCATTTCGACGTCAATAACTGACAAAGCTAGGGAATTACAGCAGTCAAGCTTAAAACAAACATGATGATGTTGGAACAGTACAACCATAATTGAGAATACAACTAAATATTTTTGCTTAAAATGTTAAGAATGTCTTTTTGCCACCGCGTTTAAACTGAAACAATGTTTCATCTAAAAATTCGTCTCTATAATTTGTCTAATGTTGTTTTGATGTCAGACTTGAATAACAATTAGTATCTGGAATACAAGAACTTTTGCAGCACCTAAGCGCATTACAATTGCTTGATCAGAAATAGTTGGGCACCACAATGCATAAACTATTATACATCATGTTCAATATATCAGGTATCTTACCAAGTTTTGATTAAAAGCACTGAGTAGATGATGAGTAGACTGGTTACCCCTTAACAAGTGAGGAATATAGTTTTTGAAGACCCTGCAAATTATTGAAATGATGGAAAAGACTCTAAACCCGTCAGGTATTAAGTTGTTCTATAATTCAAATTTAAATCTCAAATAAAGCAACAGGAAGAGGGAGCATTAAGAATTTAGTCACCATGAGCTTCCAGCTGCATTAGAAATGATATCATAGATTATCCAAGGGTGAATCCCAGCTTGAGCACCTAGAGACATAGCTTCAAGTGAAGCAACAAAGTGAATTCCTTCAAGAAGCTCGATTACCATTTTACATTTGCTGCAAAAAGTATGAAAAAAAACAAATACAAAAAAACATAAGCATTAAGTGAAACCAAAACCATGAGCACCATACAATTGCTAGTATCAGCTGCTCTGTCAAGCAATCATGCAACCAGAATACAATTTTTGTGTATTAAATACGAAAAACAGGACACTGCTTTAGTATGATTTAACTTATTCAAAGGCAGCGGATTATGGACTCGTTTGCTTTGATTAAGACTACTTTATTCTTATCCTCTATATATAAATATCGACCAAAGTTACATTCTTCCCACCTTAAACACAGATTATCCGGAGAAGGGATCTGATTGCTGTCACTGATGAAGTATGAAAGACATTTATCTATACTAAAAATGTTTTTGTTTCTTCATATATGAATTAACGAAATAATTTTATTGCTATATTTTATCTTCGAGTATGTGAACTGTATTTGGTCTAGGAGATCAGTTATCTAAGACTTTGTTTTCAGGCTTTGACGAGAAGACAACATTCACCAATCTGTACGGGCACAAACAAACAACCAACGATGCAAAAATACTTGGACATGTAAATGATGATTTTGACCATATGAAATGCTCAAGAAGAAAATGCTCAAAGGTTGAAACTTTTTTCTAAAATTCCAGCAAGTTCTCCCCGAATTTTCTTCTTCGTGAACTATAAAAGGATATGTTTGGTCGTGTAAGTGCATACACATCAGCCTGATCACTAAAACATACACTGCATATATTTTCCAATTTAGTCTGATCACAAGAAAATGTCTTCTTCACTACACACAGCAAATAAAAACCTGTCTGGTAATCCCATGGTTGTAGGAAATCAGAATCCACAAGGATCAAGAAATCCGAGCACATCCAAGAATTTAGGGAAACCCCCAAAGATATATGACAATTCAACCACACTCATGATATAATCAGTGATAAAATTAATTTCAAGAGAAATAGCATAAAACTTACAAAATTGAGGTCACGCTGCTGCTCTCACGGTTCGATGTTCACGGCGTTTATCTCCTCTCGAAAATTCCTCACGCACGGCTGGATGAAGGACAACTCGCTGTTCAACCGAACGGGATGACGGGGGGTTCGCACGATCGAGCGATGGAGATGGTGAAGTCGCTGCTGGTCGCGTTCCTCTCTCTCTCTCACGCGTGGTACGCAGAAATTTTGTGTATAAGATTTGTGAATTGTCAATCCATTTCGTGGTCCGGCTGAATGTTTGGAGCAGAAATTTTGTTGTGTTTAGAAATTAATTAGGATCAGGCTGGTGTATTATTAATATTATATTACTAATATTTAATTACAAAATTAGTTTCACAAAATAAGGGTAATTTAGGCGAAATAAATTTTTACAGATTCATTGGCTCTTTTAATATAGTATAGATATAGATAATACTAGTGTATTATAAGGTGTTGAAATAAGAAGCATATGTAAAAAAATATAAGAGATTTTATTTTTAAAATTAAATTAAAACTTAAATAATTTAATTTTATATAAAACATCACTTTGTGTTTTAGTTAAATTGTCAAGCTATATTTTTTTGATCATAATAGTCAAAACCCGTATGTGATTTAGAATTTGGATATCAAACTATATTTTTCAACTTACTGTATAATTTAAAAATTATAATAATTAATTATTTATTTTTATTAGACTGACAGCTTACCAATTATACTTTTAAAAATATAATTTTTAAAGAATAACATCATATTATTTCATCTTCGAAATAAGTGAAATGTGATTATTGGAGAGAAGATTGAGAAATAAGTTAATCTAGTTGGTTTATTAAAGGTATTTAATTAAAATAAATAAATAAAAACGAA